CGCCAAGTCCGCAACCGGTGCCCAGCCCGCAACCATCGCCAAGCGCGCAGCCGTCGCCAAGTCCGCAGCCATCGACAAGCCCGCAGCCGTCGCCAAGCCCACAGTCGTCGCCAAGCCCACAGCAGTTGCCAAGTGCGCAGCCATCTCCGAGTCCATCGCTGTCGGTTGTCCCGTCACTGCAACCGAGCACTTCCCCGGCCTCGACGTCGTCGACACCAGTGACGATATCGCTCTCTCCGTCGACAACGCCGAGTCTCACTACGACGCCGGCCGCCACGACGATCAGTGTGTCCGGCAGTGGATCCGAGACAACGGAATCGACGACGGTTGCGCCAACAACCACAATCTCGCCCGACACGACGATTGCGCCGACGGGTCCGGAGGAGAGTGCGATCACTCGTCCGGATACGGCATCGACCGCAGCCCCGGCGAAATCTGCTTCGACGCAATCACCGTCGAATGCGACAGAGGTCAGCAACCAGGCGAGCGCGGACGGTCCGAGCGTCGGCAGCGTGATCGGCTACGGTCTCATCGGGTGCATCGTGATCGCGGGCGTCGTCGTCGGCGTCGTCGTCGCCAAGGCGCGCCGAAAGATCGACGAGGAAAAGGAGATCGACCGGCTCGAGCTCGCGAGCTCGCACGCCAACATTGCCGTCCTCTAATTAGTCCATTCAATAAGTTAGTTGTTTTATCACCGACTTGCTCGAACGGAGTATCACCGCACGGCCCCGACCGATTGTATCTTCTGGGCCTCTGGCATCAGGCAGCGATGCGCCGAGTGCCCATCAAACTCAACCTATATAAACATCGTTGCATTCATCTATCTCTGCTGCCACTCTGCCACACGGAACGACGACGAGAGTGCGAAAGTACAGTAGATCTTAGGTGATGTCTGTCGCCATGAGGCCAGCTGGTAGCTTCGAACGCGGCGACATGGCTTGCCCGTCGTTCGCCATTCGGCGATTTACCATGCTCCGCTCCCTTCTCGTAGCGTCGGCGCTCGCGCCCGCCGTCGTTCTCGCCCAGTACACTGGCGAAGGCACGACGTATGGCCCGCCCGACGGCGGCGACAGCTCGACGACTGGCAACTGTGCGCTCATGCAGCCGCTCGGCTTTGCCAAGAAGTTCCACGTCGCCATCAACAACTACCAGTGGAGCACCGGCGTCCACTGCGGCCGCTGCGTCGAGGTCCAATGTACCGACCCCAAGTGCACGCGCAACGACGTCGTGCTCGGTCAGATCACGGATCGGTGCCCCGAGTGCGCGCACGGCGACCTCGATATGTCACTGCCCATGTTCAACAAGGTCACGGGCCTGTACACAGACCGACCCAAGATCAAGTGGAACTTTGTCGACTGCCCCGTCTCGGGTGGCCTCCAAGTTTGTGCCAAGAGCGGCAGCTCCAAGTTCTGGTTGTACGTGCAGCCGGGCAACTCGAAGAGCGGAGTCAAGAGCATGAGCATCAACGGCAAGGACGCGCCGTCGTTTGCGGACGCGTACTACTTCAAGTCGCAGTCGCTGG